AGGATTTTTCTTATGTCCTGGTGTTTTGCCCAGCAGCAATGGAAAGGCCCCGGGGGCCCCCGCCACTGTCTTTCATTGATGGTGGCTCAAAGAACTGTGGCCCACGCACATGTTCCATTTAGATCTGGAAAAGGAACTTCTCTGCCATTCCTGAAGAAGGGAAATGGGAGAGGCTGGGGCCCTGTAGCCATTTCCCTCTGAGGATCTAACTCCTCCTTGGGACACTGGCAGGATAGTAGTCTCTAGAACTCATGGGAATCACAGATCTCCTGTCCACCTCCTACTTGGAAAATATCTCCTCCTTCTTGCCTCCCTTCCAACAGACCTAGGACAGTCTGTTCAGTGAGTTTTCTTTACGGAAGATAAGAAACTCTACTGCTTTGAGGCTGCCTCTGCTTCTTTGCTCTCAAAATTTCTAAGCTTCATAATTACAGAGCCTGGAAATCTATTTGAAATGGTGATGAAAGAGGCCAGGGGCAGGCATGAGAGAGATGAAGAAACAAATTAGTATTTCAGTCTATTGCTTGAAATCTTTTTTATTTATTCTTTACTCATCTCATAGAAAACTGTCCATTTAAAACAACCCACTGGACAGTCTGGACCAGAAGAATAAAGAGCAAATGCCATAATTCTTGGACCAGCTCAGAAGGGGATTCATAAATGATATTCACTTCTGCTCCTGCCCCAGGCTCATCTCCCCAAAAGACATTACAGCAGGGGCCACTCTTAATTGGACTGGGAAGCTAATGGGATTTGCTCAAGATTTGTGCAAACCCCTGTGTACCAGACAGACATGGGGGGAGGTACTGATGGTACTGCAGTGTTTGGGACAGCAGAGGCCCTGCCCTCCCTGGGATGACCGCAGGGTCCTTGCTTCTCAATTCTGCCTCCAGTGCACATTACAAACTTTAGGACCATTTGCTAAGTAGTCCTGGCTCAGTCGAGCCTACTATCTGGCTGCTAGAATTTTCATGCTTGCCTTTAACAATATTGAAGTTTTACATTTGAAGTGGGGGAAAAAAACTTCTATTTCTTTCTAACTACTTTGAGAATGACTGTGAATGTTCTAAATGCCTCTTTTGCATTGGGGGGGGGGAGCAGCTTTGCTTCAAAACTGACTACAATGCCTCTCTTAATCATTCCCATAGCTTCTTAGGCAGTTAAAGGTAAAACGGTTTTAAATAGGGTGTTTTCAAGTTGTTTTGATGTATCTGCTTGTCCCAAAGCTATTAAAGGAGGCTTTTTAATGTGGGGACATATTTACTTGACTACTCTAATCTGCTTTGTATTGCATTTTAGAAATAACAAAACTTCAAACTATTTGGAAGCCCTTTCCCACCAACACATTTGGGCAGATGTTGGGATGGGAAGGAGACCAGAAAAATTAAGTGATGACAGGCAAGAACAGGAAGAACCTCTAAGTTAAAGGGATGGTAGAGACTTGACACATTTGTAGTGAGTTTCCTACCAAAAGAGATATTTAAGCAAAGGTTAAATTACTATTGCAAACAAGTTAGTTAACTGCTGGGTTGCATGAATGTTTCTCAAAAATTTGATCTTTCTAGTATGCTCTTCATTATTGTTCTCTGGCTATGTGTCACTTATATTATTAACTATCACAGAGAACAGGATTGAGAGGGGCCTTTTCTTTTTCTGACTCCCCATGGCTCACAGTATATGGTTATACACAGAGCAGACTTTTGAAAAATAGATTATTCATTTTGCTTATGTTCCTGGGAATGAGAGGCAGATGGATTGTAATAAAGTGTTTTTAGACCCTTTATTATGAGCTGGAGATGGCCCTGCCTACTATCACTGATTGAAAATCAAAGTGTCATTAAGAAATTTGGCAGATACCTTAAGTATATTACTTTTGCATACATTTAATCAGGTTAAAATGATGAGTAAAAGTAGACAGTCTGAATTTGAAAGACTTGGGTTCCCTGCTGCTGGTGTAATATGAACATGCCCTCCAGCCTATTGCCTCTCACACTGGGTTTGAATGCCCAGGCTGGGGCCCTCTTGGCAGAGCTGTCCCCACAAGTACCAAAAATAGAAATAAGACAGATGGCATGCTGTCCATGAAAGAACAGCATTGACCGGGGAGATCTGTGCTCATCCACAGGCTGAGGTACTGTTCCTGAAGGAGGGATGGAAAAGTGCCCATTTCCCACCTGGTCACTCAGCACCCACCATGTGGCGTCTGTACTAAATGTGTTGAGGTGCAGGGCACATGCAATGCCAGAGAGAAGAAATGATAGCCTCAAATGAGAAAATTCAGGTGTCTGAGGAAAGTGGCTTAGGAAATTGGGCTGGTGCAAACTGGCCAACTGGAGCATATGGTTTAGGCTAAACTTCTTTGAGTATATGTTTACAGCTTTTACATTAGTGCCATTAAAATAGTTAATAAATCTGTAACACATTAGGCTTTTAAAAAGCAATCATAAAAATTGAAGGCAGTGGAAATGAGACAATTGAACCCAACTAGATAGCGTTTTGGTAACAGAACAGAATTAGTTCAAATGAGTTGGAAGCCCAATCATTTGACTATACTTTTCTAATAGGATATACTCTAAATTTTTTTTAAAAGGTAAATTTTAAATTATTTTCTTAATGATAATTTTAGTATGGTAGTGGCATTGGTGTTCTGAAACTGCTCTTTGTGCATTTGGGTTAAATCAAATGAGTAATCATTTTGGTGTGAATGAAAACACAGATTTTTAGTATGAAAAAAGGTAATAATATTATAAGATCCATGAGGTTAAATGAAAACCTTCAAGTCCTGAATTTGAATTGAAATTTCATATGAACTCATCGTGTATTCTATTTAAAACACATTTACACAACTTATTTTCTAGCTCTATCCACAGAAACAAGGGCCAATCTAGTAGCAGTGAGCACCCAAAGCTCTTTGTTTGTGGTCTCTAAATACCAGTAGTTTCCACTAAAATAATCCAGGGGTTCTTACTAGAAATGGCTGGTTCCAAGCCTGGGACAGGGTATGTGTAAGATAATGCTGGGACATCTTGTGAAAGCAGAAGGAAAAGGGCCATCAAAGATTACTAGGCCATATTAAAAGGACTTAATGAGTTAACCTGAAGAGGCCCCCACTGAGCAAAGGTGGGAAAGTTAGAACTTTAATAGGAATAAAAACTGTGCTGGAATGAAACAAACCAAAATGTGCATAATAATATTTTAAAAAGTAAAAATGTCACTGGCCATCTTTGGGTGATAGTAGGTAACCAATTCAATATTTTGAATATCAGTGATTAAGGGAAGAAAAAACAAGCATTATCAAGTTCTATACAAACTATGATTTAGGGTAAATGTACTTGATGACAATTTCTCTTGATAGACTATCCCAACTAATATATTAAGAAGAAATAATTGAATTATTTTATCACCAGTTGGAGATCGCTAGTGAAATAATGGATCCTCTAGTCAAAGATCACCAATTGCTGATGGGATCACAGAAAAAGAATTTATGTGTCTCCTGACAGAGCAGAAAAATACCCTCCACCTCAAAGATGTCAGTGACCCAATTTCAGAGCCCATGACTATGTTATATTACATAGTAAAGGGAATCAAAGTTATGGATGGAATTATGGTTGCTAATAAAGTGATGTAAAAATAGATTATCCTGGATTAGCCATCCAGGTGTGCCCAGTGAAATTACAAGGATCTTTAAAAGTAGAAGAGAGAGGCAGAAGATTCATTGTCAGTGATTGGACCTGAGAAAGATTCAACCAGTCATTGCTGACTAAAGACAGCAGGGCTGCCAAGCCCAGGAACCTGGGCAGCCTAGAGAAGCTAGGAAAAGTCAAGAAACGGATTCTGCCTTAGAGCCTCCAGAAGAAATGCTGCAGCCCTGCTGGCACCTTGATTTCTGCCCTGGAGGCCTGGGTAGGACTTTTAACAAACGTAACTGTGAAATAGTTAAACCACTGAGTTTGTGGTTATTTGTGATGGTAGCAATAGAAAACATATATTCTGTTTCCTAGGATGTATTCTTTCTAGAAAAGTGAGCCTGAATCTACTCAAGCTTATTGATCTAACTCTCAATTTTCAGGAAATACAGGGGACAGAGGTACACATTATATGAAATGATGTGGATGTTCAGCAAAATCTAAATCCTGGAAAATGACATGTTTCTTTAGCAAATAAAATATGTGTATGTGTACAGATGAGTGCGAGAGAAACTGACTTGGGAGATTTTTGGAAATGACCTAGTATTTTAAGTATCAATGAATTTGCATTAAGGAACTAGATTCAAATAAGCAAATATAAAAAGAAAATAAATATTAATGAAATTTGAACATTGACACTTGGGTGTTTGATAATGGGGAATGAATTTATGAATTTTTTGTGTATTAATGGTTATATTTAAAAAAGGAGGTGGGTATGGTGGGTATAACAGATAACAATAACTATAAATTGTAAATTGTTGGAGATAAATGATAGGTCTATAGATGTGTGCTATTTATCCTTTCTATTTTTATATATACATTAGTATTTCCATGATAATGTTAGTAAAAATGTTAGTAACTAATTTGACCTCCTAAGTGTTTTTTGAACCAAACACAGCATGTCCAAAGGCGGTATTTGCTGAAAAGACTGCCAGTTTCTACTTTTGCACAGTTTCAGAAACCATGTCTTTCACTTTAACCTGGGGAAACATCCTTTTCTCTTTCCCCACTCACCTGCCCCCATTTTTCTGTACTGACTAGCAAAAAAGGCCTCTCCCTCTGTACGAGTGAATGAGTAGGAGGCATTAAAGATTTCTTGGTATAAAATTTTCTCAGAGTGAGCAAAGAGGGTAATAGGCATATTACATAGAAGAATGCCTCCTAGTGTTTTATATACTCCCTTGGATCCCCTCTCATTCCACCTTCTCAAAAGAAAAAAAGAGGCAATAACTTTGTTTCAATTTTTGAAAGCCTGAGGTATTTTGAATTTTGGTGAATTATATTTTCCATGTTATCTCTGTGCTTCTATTTCAGGATGGAATGGGGAACTTGAGAATCACAGAAAAAGGTCTAAAGCTAGAAGGAGACTCAGAATTCTTGCAACCTCTCTATGCCAAAGAAATCCAGTCCCGACCAGTAAGTTTCTGTAAAGTTTCTGTTGAGAGAAGAAGGAATTGTTTCTCTGGAATCTAAATTTGAGGAAATTTGTCTGGCCATCTCATTAATACAGAGCATAGGCGTAGCAGGTAGTAATGCAAGTAATGAGATATGTTCAAATCTTAAGTCTTGAGTGTAATCACTGCCATGGTACTGTAAGCAAATGACACCTCTCTGAACCTGTTCCTATTCCTGCCAAGTAGAGGGTAAAAACCTCTGTTAACGAACTTTCTAGGTTATTCTGCAAATAATGCAAGACAGTAAGTGTGGAAGTGCTTTATGTAGATCCAAGAAAAATTTTTTTTCAATTGTCAGATGCTTCAAAGCCATCTTTGGAAACATAGAACAAAACAATTAGAATTTTAATTTTCATTAAGATTTTGGACAGTATAGCCAAGGTTGGTTAGAATCTATTCAATATGTTAACAGTTGTGTTCTGAAATAGCCTTTAAATAATTACTCTAGAGTGTTTGCTCTGTTCTTACACTTCACTTCTTGGTGTACATTATCCTTACCTAATTTAATTCACAGATTGGCGGACTAGGGTGGCAATTATTGTTGTCTCCATTTTACATAACAGAAGAGTTGAGACTTGGAGAAGTGATACATCCAAAGCCACATACTTATGAAGTAGCTCAGCTGAGATTTCAACTCAGGAAATCCACTTACAAAGCTTTCTGTTAACCAGAGTCTCCTACCTCAGCTTTTTCTCTCATTCTTTCTATTTTGTCATGATACAATGATTCCTAGAGCTCTTTTATTAACCAATATGATCAAAGTTAAGTTTGTTTTTGAGAGTTTTCTGGATGTTAATTGTTGTTTCTTGGGCTTTTTCTTTGTTTTTTTTTGATGAGGTGGTGGTGGAATTTGCTGGTTGAAAAGGGTTATTAATGCATTTGCTCTGCCTGGGATTGGTCCGAGTCCACCTGCAGTCACGGGTAACATGAGTGCTCCCCAAAGCATCATTGCATTGTGTGCATTCATTAGCATAATCAATGAAATCTAGGAACTTGATGCAGTGGGCAATGTTATTTAAATGATATCTAAATCTAGTGAATTGTATTTAACAGAGTACAGCTACTGAATTGCAAGTAACTTTATTTCATTGTGTGCCTAGTAAAAGGGAGGAATCCATGACGTTTGAATCATCAAAAAGAGCAAATCAATTCAGCCACCCAATCAATGATTATAAAATTTAACTAACTCATGGCACACTGGCTTAGGCACTCAAAGTACCATAAATATTCTGAACATACCTACTGTCTTTGAAGAAGCTGTATCCTAGAAGGAGTAATGGGATGAAATTAATCTGGTACTATTACATTGGACTAAATGGAGACAGTTGATATCAAGCATTTAATACCTGTTAAACGCATTGCTCTTGACCTATTTCTATCAGGTTTATTTCTATCAGGTTGGCAAGTTGGTTAGTTAAATCACTGTTTTGAGTTATTAGTTATACTTTAGATTTATCTAATCTATGTTAAACTTATTTAACTGGCTAGTTAGGCTGATCATTTCCCTCTAATGGTAATGCTGGCCCTTTTTGTGTTAAGGGCCCAATTGCAAATATTTGAGGCTTTTATTTTTTTCTTTCTTAAACTGTTTAAAAATGTAGAAACCATTCTTATCTTGATGGGCACACAAAACTAAGCAGCAGCCTGCAGTTTGGCTGCCTTTCTAAACCTATATTAGTGATATTTCCATTAATATGTAAGTGTCTTGCTAGTTATAAATGCTGGCATGTGGTACAAGAGAGTAGAGTTTAAGGTCCTGAGTAGAATGGTTGATCTGTGTTAAGCAAAATATCCTCGGATAAATTTCTTGGTGTAGTATTAGAGTCATATAAAGGAACTGAGAAATGTGTTTTAGAAGACTTGAAAAGGGATGCCTGGTCCATCCCTTAGGCCCATATGTAGGAATTAAACTTTTAGTATGTCAGCTAGTTGAGGTGAAAATTGACAGTCACCTGATCCCAACCCAAAGACACACTTGACTGGAAGCTTAAAAAGTAATGATAATCTCAAGAAACATAGTTTGCTATTAAAAACTCAGGGAGTTGAATTCAGTGCTTTCAAGAAAATAAAATGTTAGAGTTTACTGTTCCATTTTTCTTGAGAAAGTATTTTCCTACCATAACATAATCAGTAAATAAACAAAGCTTTTCAATCTTGTGTTTCTGACAACAAAATCAATATCCTTTAACTGAAGCAAAAAGACACACAGATATGCATATGTGGTAAAATCCAGTAAGTCCCGTGAGCTCCACCTGCAGCATGGGCCCACATCCATCCGTTCTTCTACCACCCAGTTCATGCCGTCAGCCCCCCTCAGCCTCCCTCAGCCTCCCTCAGCCTCCCTCAGCCTCCCCCACCTACCCCCTTACAATAGCCTCGCTCTCTGCTGCCTTTCACTCACTCAGCCTCAGCATCCAAATTGCAGCCAAAGTACTCTTTTCAAAATGTCAAGTCTGCCCTCCCCTTTGCAAAGGATTCTGCACTGATTTCCATTTGCACCTGTGGTAAAATCAAAACTCACTGAAGTCCATGAAGTTCTCTGTGAGCTGTTTTTCATGGAGGGCTCCTTCTGGTCAACCTGGTCTCAGTTCAGATGTTGCCATCTTAGAAAGACTTTCTTCATTTAACACAGCAGCCATATATAAAACATCACCCTGCTTTTTTTTTTCTTTTCCTTCATGCACTGTCATCATTTTACCTTCTTATTTGCTTAAAAATGTAAAGTGGAAGAGCAGAGGATTGTTTGAATTTCCCTTCTATATTCCCCAGCCTTGTTGCTATTTCTAGCACATAGTATGTACTCAGTGGATATTTATGCAATTAAAGAATGAATCATTAAAAATGAAAGTGTCACTTAACTTGATCTTGCAGAGGCGAGCAGTGTTAACAGTGTAGTGTATCTGTTCAGGCATTTTCCATGAATATATTTTTTAACAAAACCATACTTGGCATACTAATCTGTGCATCTTTCCCTCCAAATAATGTATTAACAGTAATTTTCTATGTTTAAATAATGTTTAAAAGTGGAAGAGCTCTTTTGAAATATAATTGACATAGAATAAGCTATATGTATTGAAAGTGTGACCTTTGATAAGTTTTCATGTATGCGTTTACATGTTAAACCATCCCCACAATCAGACAAGGAACATTATCTGTCACTCCTGAGAGTTTCTCCATGTCCCTTTTAACTCTTGGATTCTGCCACATCCACCCTGTTTCCACACCCTTTCCCCAAACAACCAATGATCTGCCTCCTATCTTAAACATTACTTTGCATTTCTTAGACATTTATATAAATGAATCCATACAATTTGCATATCTAAATAATTTTAAGAGAAAAATTGTCTATCATTTTATTATATTTGCTTCAATCATCCATTGAAAATAATATATTATTTTATTTTATTTTACCTATAATTGGGCTGTGTCATGATTTGTGTAGGGAGAGATATTTGAAGAGGCTCTGGGCATAGAGCTTTAATATTTCCCTTTTGGATGACCTCAGAGCACTGAGGAGGGAATGGAGTATAACATTAGGCATGGCAACAAACATATAATCAATCTCTCTGAATTTTCACAAAGAGCAAAAACAGGTATTTTGGATCACAAAGGCAAAACAACTAGATTAGAAGCTGGTGATTTAGTCTGTAGGACTTCCGAGCCCTCAGGCACAGGGGTAACTGCCAGCTGAACAGAATTGGGGCTCTGGGAGAAAAGAAGGTGGGGGGAATGACTGCTGGGCAGACAACCAGTAGAATCTGCCATACCTGCTGAATGATGCACACGATGCTCACCTGAACTCACACGGGGCAGCTGTCCTTCCCTGTTCTGGCAACTTCAGCCTCTATTTTTTTTCTGATGCACCTGACATTGCTTATATGTCACCCTGGAAGATTCTTTTCAGGAGAATTATCTGCAGTATCATTTCTTCATCAATCACAGGTGCTTTTGTTTCTTGGGATATCTCTCTCTGTGTTTTCCATTGAAAGAGATCTGCATCCAGTTGTATAAGATTATTCAGTCTCTCTAAATGAGGATAACTAATGAAGCAACACTTGATTTCATTTTGGTTTCATGTTTCATTGATCTGAGAGGAATTGAGATTGGTTAACCAATCCACACAATGTTTAATACTGTATCCGATTTCATTATTGAAGGTTGCAACCCTGGTAAAGTCACTACAAATTGATTAGTGTGATAGCAATCACTGTGAAAGACAAATTAATGAGAAAATGTTCATCTCTATAAAAACTCCCATCTGGGAATTGAACACAAGCCCCAGAAATTTCTAGCTTTAGCTGTATACATGCATAGCTTCGAAGTGGTAAATTTTCATATGACTCAGAAAATAGACCAAAGAGATCATACGGTAAATTAACTACTCCACCTTCACATCCAAAAACCAGCCTGTCTCTAGAAATACTACTTGAATTTGTCAGCACAGAAATTTGTAAAGTTAAGGAATATAATGCCCCTCCCAAGAAAAATCTGTGTTTAAAGTTCCATTTCAGTGCGATAGGCATCTTTTTAATTGATAAATACAACTACAAATTTTTGGGAAGAACTACTAGTAGATAGAATGAGTGAATCTAAGGAGACTTTTCATCACAAAGTATCATTTTGGAGAAAAGTGGGAGATCCCTGCTTCTTCAGAGAGGGTTCTTACTTGGCTTCTCATGATGCTGGAACTAGATGGGCCTTTTGCATAACTTAATGCTAAGTAACAAGGGAAGGGAAGCTAGCATTTATTGAGCATCTATTATGTGCCAGGCTTTCAGCAATGGGAAAGTTGCACACTGTTTATCTCCTTACCCACTTCAGACTATACTTAGGGTGGATATAGGGAACCTAAGCCATTGCTATATTGAATTACAAAGCTCAGGAGAGGATAGGGTAGCAAAAGAAGTTGATGAGTGTTAAAAAAAATTAAGGCAAAATATAATAAGGCATAAGGGTATTTAT